TCGAATATTGTGGGGTGGGTGTATTTGAAGGTAGATAGAACCTTTCATTGGTCCCGACGTTTCTATTGGCCGTCGCGACGTTTCGACCTTCTCGTCTTCTTCAGAGGCCTGAAAATGGCTCGAAGCTTTCAATTTGTCACCTACCCGATCAAGCGCCTCCCCCACTCTAGCGTTTCCGACGTCGTGTCCCGAACACCCCCGAAGAACCCAGTAATAACTGCGCTCAACTCACCGAGGTTCCACCGTGCGGAGCCTAGCTCACGCTATGTGTCAGTAGTGTAAGTAAGGACGAATGAGTCTCATCGTGTCACATAAGTCAAAATTGCCATTGTGCACTTCGCCCTTACTGTAGCTCGCACTCTGAAATAAACGGCAAGAGCTCATTAGTTATGACGGCCCATTTCGTTTCGGCGCGTTCATTCTTGGTTTTCTCGCAAAGATCCAAAACGATTACAGGGCATTTTTCCTGGAAGAAATCTCTGTTTCGTACCCGAGTATAGTGCAGTTAACATCAAAGTCATGATGCTCCTCAATCTTATGCTTGCCAAGAGGAGTTGTCATCATATCACGCCTCTTCCCAGCTAGGTGTTCCTTGACGCGAGTAGCTAAGTCCCTTCCTGTTTCCCCGATGTACGTGCTGTTACAAGCCCTGCATTCAAGTTGGCAAAACCCCGGTTCTTCTACCCTCACCATCTCTTACCTTCCAAAGTCTCAAATAGGCGCAACCTGGTGTCAATGCACTGCCATGTCCGTAGCAGTCTGTTTACGCAAACCAAAAGTTGGCCGTTTCGAGTGTTGCTGTTGGCGGACATGCTCACCAAGACAATATCACTCTGCAACTGTGCTCTCACAATACTGCGAGGTATTTCAGTGCTGATGTCATCGGAAATAAACGGAAGGCACAAGGGTAGCTTTCCTTGGCGTGATACATGTCGAAGGCTGGCATTCGATGTTCTACGATATGCTCGTACCGCATAACCATTTTCTCCTCCTGTCGTTCTACCTCGCCTGTGCACATCCTGGTTGCAGTCGTGATCATGTTCCTGATGACTGCACGTTTTACCGCAACAGGATGTGAAGACGTTGCGTGAATCAGGATATTCTTACAGCTGGGTTTGCGGTACCACACTTTACTTTAGCAATGCCATTGGACAGTTTCACCTGCGTATTCAGATATGGTAGTGGTAATTGAAAGCTTCGAGCCATTTTCAGGCCTCTGAGGAAGATGAGAAGGTCGAATTGTCGAGAGTCAATAAAAGGTTCTATCTAATAACCTCGTTTTTCAGAAATAACTAAATATTCGTCATCTGTGCAGAGATTTCCCTAAGGATTCTACTGAGAACTTACTTAGGGCTACTAGTTCATTCATGAACACCTACTACCCATAACACTTGATCGCGGGAATCGTCTCTGAAGACCGTCCAATCATGTTGTTACTTCGCGTCTCTAAGCTGCGGAACGCAGCTTCTATCAGTTAATCCTTCATCATTCTTCTATGAAAATGATAGATACGAGAAGAGTGCAATATCGTCGATAACACTTTCATGCAAAGGAAGTTGGGAGGCTGTGTTGCTCGATGGATCCTCACGGGTCGACAATCTCTAAAGGTATTGATAACGCTGCGTGACGCTTGACTTCAACTCCCTCGGTTGGGCGCGCCACGTAACATCATTCAAGACGGTTGCTGCTTTCTGGTACGGCATTATCATTTTTGGACAATTCAAACCATGTATGGACCAGCACAAGGCATGATGACAGCAGTCTGTATTGCAAGTGTGCCAAGATTAACACATCTTACACTATGTTCAGAAGGAGTGCGGAGAAACAACTATTGCGCTCCAGGGAAATGGGATCTACCTTGGGACAATTGTCAGCATGTCTTTGCTCAACATAAGGCAACATTACAGTTGCATTGAATCCAACTGTCTCAAAAACCTCAACAACCCATACTAGGCCATGGCCAAACGAAGTACGCAGCCATGCCAACCTCACCTCACTATCACGGATGCGGAACGTAGGGAGTTAAGACTTCGCGTAGGGTGAATACAGCCCTATCGGGGCTAAAAGTACGCACGGAACAAACGTCAATACTCAAATGATCGTGGAGCTATACTAGACTAGCTAGGCTCGGCTGAGTCACTGTTTGACAACATACTAGTTATGTTCAGAGTGGATAAAATGAGGTTTTCCATTCTCTAGAAAGCGGAATGCTAGGGAACTGAGACGCGGAACAATTTGAACGCTAGAAGGGTAGAATGGAAACTGAACAACAGAAGAACGAAATATCTGATGAGGGAAGGAGTTCGCCACTTATAAGACCTTTTAAACGTTCGATGACACGGAGTGATATGAATAGCGAGGAGTTCTTCTTCCTTTTAACGGGTTCTCCGCATCTGCAACTATTCAAGGTTACCAGAACAGTTGAAAAAAGGCAAGGTAAAAAGGTAGGTAACTTCATAGAACAAGCAAGTCTCCCAACAACGGTGTTGTTCTCAGAACTGAGAACAACAAGCGTTGTCGGGAGAGTTGCTGAGTTGATGATAAATAAGAAAAGTTGTAGACCATCCAGGAACTGTGTGCGCCTAGTGCTTCGCTTTCCATCTTTTTCAGTATGAAAATTATGAGCGCGAATCGCCGTAGATCACTCGGAAAGGGCTAGGAGACTCGGCCACTAGATGAAAGGAGTCGTGGACGTAGTTGGGATCATTCGTTATGCTACTACGCGCGCTATCATAGAAGCTTATTAGTCCCGCTCTCATGCTACCCATCATTTGAAGAAAAAGCCTCCTGCTTATCAATACGGTTGGAGTGACCAAGGGGTCCGTGCTGCGGCGACGCGGAGAGAATCACTGCGCGCGTAGTAGCATAACGATTGACCATAACTGCGCCTGCAACTCTTTTCATCTAGTCGCCGGATCTCCTCACCCGTTCCGGGTGATCTACGGCGATTCGGGCTCATAATTTTCATACTGTACCTGTTAAGGTACCTACCGAAGAAGGCTCACATCTAGTCGAGAAATTTTGAAGTCAAGGATTGTTATCAGCTTCATTTTTTGTAGTGATGTAGACGCCACGTCTGCGTGCAGATCATGCCCTGGTTGGACAGTAGCGTCTTTAACTGTGACCAGAAAGTAAAACGTGGACACATTTTCTTTGAGTAAAATGCCTCAGAGGCCTTGTACGGTCTGTGGAGGAGCGTACTTGAGCACGAGAAGGATTTTCCACAATTGTTGATCATTCCTATTTTCACGTACTGTGAGACTTCTATTTCAAATAGGCGAGTGGAAATTCCCATCACCTATGGAAAAACTTTGATAGCTTTTGCTAAAGATGGCATGCCGACTGCAAAAGGTGGTGGACTTGAAGGTAGGCGTTATTTTGCAAAAATTTGCACAACGCGATGACGTGTTCTGAGCAAAACGCTTGAATTACGCTGATAGTAAGAGCTACTACTAGTAATGTCAAGGTGTAGGTTTCAAATCGAAGTAACGCCACTATGAATCCGCATAAGCGAGCTGGGGTCAGGACTCACACCCGCGCTTGTAAAAAATCTTAGCTAAAGCGCCTCTAGCCAACTTTCTCCCCCCCTCGGTAGACCCCTTCCCCAACCTACCCACATCTCCACATCTCTTACTGATTTCCTTACTAGATTTTCTCGAAATTCTGACGTGGAGATGTGGGGGTGGGTCAGGTATAGCGGTATATTGGCACGGCAAAATATACGTTCCGAAAAAATTCTTCCGAGCCATGAATTCCCACCGGCTAAATGCGATACGTCTCGGATGCGATCATTCATCCAAATCACGACGGATATCGTGAGGGTGAATTCCTCACTTCCTTTCCGAATGCCTGTCAAAAGAAATGACATGCCATATTTTGCTGTGTGTTCTCGGTTTATTTCCTACCTACATCCATTGCATTCATCACGCGATGAACTTTTGTACCCAGAAAGGCCGCTCCTCCTCAAGTGCTATGCGTCATCGTATGTCAACCCTAGCAAGAACTTTTTTTCCTATTTTCTGCCCAGCAGGCGAAAAATTTCCATAAACACTTCTAAGTTGAGCAAGCCCGTGAGTAAAAGCAACGAAACAGATTGTTGACTAAAAATTTGTTTTGCAATACAATTATGAGCATTATTTGCATGTTCTCCATTAGCTCAGGTAACTTGATGGTGCACTTCGACAACGGGGGTTGGGCATTTTGCACTCTCGCTACTTTACTAGTTCCGCTTTACAACGCTCACTGTGGTGAAACTTGAAACTTCAGTGAGGCCGGAGCAAGCTGGTTGAGCCACCAAGTTTTTAGCGGATTTGGTGACTTAAGCAATTTAAAAATGAGCTCGGTGCCGAAATTTCTGGAGTCCAAACGGCATTAGCCTGTAGCGTGCTAGCTGGTGGTTTGTGGGCTACCGTCACCCTCCATTGCGCCCCTGCTCACCTACTGGTGCTTTGCTACTATTCTGTATTCGGTTTAGCAAGAGCTACGCGGTACCCAAACTCCCCAATATTTGTTTTCAAGGAGTTATCACACCCTGGTAAATAAACTTTACGAAAAGCGACGTTTTTCAGCGTTGCAATCCGGTCGACGTTATAATACCTGCATGACATTCGCTGTAATGAAGCTCATGCTCAGGCCGGTTCTTTTCGCCTATTTGACTAATTTACTAAAGCTTCCGCTCCACTGATCGCTCCGTCACTGACTCACCAACGAAGCTATGTTTTCCACTGCACTTTGGTGTTCAATAAAAGGTGGACTGGTTCAGTATGGTCGGCATCTGTTCGACGTCAGTTTCCACGTTTACGCCAACGCAAATATGCACCACACTAGAGCACACGGTCGCTACGACGACGGCGCAACGGCAAATAAAAAAACTACAAATAGAGGAAAGGGGTTGAGCACAGCTTATCCGTCCGGATTTTTGCCACAAGACCGGTAGAGACGACCTGATATAAAACGTGAACGAACTTTTGCCACTCGTTGTCTCTGCGCCTGCGTCAAACATGCGCCATACGGCACTCATTGCATTCTTCTGCTGCTCCCTTGCTTATTCTTTAGCTGAACCGGTAATTCATTTTATTTGATGCTCATTTTATTTTTCATTTCATTTAAAGTATTCACCGACATAGAGGATAGTAATTAAGAAGAGAATTCATGAGCCAGTGGTGAAGATCAGCAACAGTTGCATGCATTAACAGACTAAGAACCTCGAACAGCTTCACCTTGTGCCCCTCCAGCTAGGACATACCGAGTCTTGGATGCGGGCATGGATACATATTTCCGGAATGAGGCACTAGAGCTCTTGTCTAGGAGCACTACCAACATATTTCGAGACGGTAGCGCATTTTCACGGGGTGTAGTCCATATTCCTGCGGTCTTTCCTTGACTGAAACTATTATCGCAGTTTGTCTCTGTGGTGGGAAACAAATGCCATTATATTATTTTTTCTGTTTGCTATCTTAACTTTTTTTATTTATGTTTATATCTCTTCTTTCTGAGGCTTTACTGTGCCTCATACCTCGGTTCCTTTAAACGAAGAAACGCTAGCTTTCCTCCAAGCAACATTCGATAGTCAGCCCAACGCAGAGATGGTCTTACCCATGCATTCGGGCGAAAACCTACCCAGATCAGCGGATGGTCAACACATGCTATCGACGTAATGGGGCGGCATTTGGTCCAGACAGCGTTAAAGAAATCTGAGCGTCGAACTCTTGCTTATCAGGTGTGGGCCCTTACGCAGTCTCTCTCCCCGTAGCGCTGTCTGGCCTGACGCCCACCGACGGGCAAGCAACCAAGGAAACGGTGTGGTGGTATGACTAAAGGATCATCCTAGTTCTCGAGGACGGACATTTTTGATGAGTCCCTGTTGGCGTATGCAGAAGCCACTGGGCTGGGAAGGCGCAACTATTGGGCGGGGAAGACGCTACGGAGCTGAGAAGGTGCAGTGGTCTGGGATGGGTAACGGTTAGCACACTTTCTCGGTAAGCGTGATCTCCAAGTTCATAATCTTCTTGAGAGCGAGTCTTCCGCACACAAGCTATCACACGAATATGCGCAAGAGTCTAAACCTCACACTTTCTGCACTGCACTGCAGTGCACTGCCCGCTGCACTGTCCATTCTTTTTGTACAGGAATGATTGTTCATGAGCTGGTTTCGGAATTCGTCACGGAAACTGCTAGAAAAGAGGCTGAAGAGATGCCGTGCTACCGGCTGCCATTACTGAAATGAATCCTGGTGAAGAAAACGCGGGAACAGTCAGAGGTCCGTGCACCTTCATTGTTCAATCTCACATGGGATCACGTTGAATCCCATGGTGATCATTACCTGCTAGTTTATGGATTGTGAAGGTTAAGTAGTCTGCTAATGACTATGAAGCCGCTATCATGGCTGACTTTGATTTCACTGTAGTATGGACTTGGCAAAGAGGTAGAGTAGTGCACGCCTACCACGCGAGGGCAAAGCCCGGATCAGTTACCATCAAGCCTTATTTCCTTCGTGGACGGTAATTTGGAGAATAAAAGCATCAGTTTGTACATCAGCTAGCTCCCGCAAGTAATTGCATGGCCGCAAAGCATTGACTTATGGCAAATACTTTACTTTTTATCGCAAAACTCTAGTTATAATGTTATTGCGAGCAACGTCTGCTATTCCATAGCTCCATTGCAGATCCGCGCACGTCGTCAAAATTGCGGTTGTGCTCAACAGCAACCTCAATGTGTATGTCAAGCCGTTATCGAATTGAGCCCACAGCAGAGCTGCCAATGCACTCAGCCAGTGCAGACGCCAAGCTGCCAGCAACAGTGTGTTACACAGGTATGATGGTGAATTTGACTTTCGAAGGCCTACAATTAATCTGGCATCGTATCGTTAAGTCCACCCAGCTAATCGATAACTGGTTACCACCCGAAGGCTTGTGGACAGGTCCTATTTCGAAATGCATTAACGCTAAAGAGCAGTGAGCATAGCACGTGGAATAAAAAAGTGACAAGTAAACTCGAAGTTTAGTATCACACAACGGATAGGCAGAGAGAGAACATGTGAACCGGATTTATGTGCATCGATATCCCGGAGATGGGGAGGGCGTGGCCGTGTATTTCATCTGAACACGGCTTCTGATGCTTTTCATGGGCCTTTTCATTTAGCACAGCTGCCATCACGTCTGGGGCTGGACAGTGGGTTGATTACAGTATTGCCGAAACGGCGAAATCCTACCAGAAGCGCAGGTTTAGCCGCGTTCGAATGAAAAGCTCGGCCACGCCCACTCCGTCTCCGGGAAATGGAAAATAGCTCGTGTAGCTGTGCTTCAGCCAAGGACCTTGAATAGCCAGATAACCTAGAGTCCTTGGAGGCCCGCATACCTCTGCCTTCAAGATCAGGACAACTTAATGTTATTCCTTGTCCCCCATCGAATGTCAAAAAGGGTCAAACTTCGAGCGTTTATCAGTTCTTTTGGGGATGCGCCACACACCTGACTACCATTCATTAGCATTGTGATATTTTGTATACAATCTCAACCCAACTATGATTAAAAGGGGTAAGGCATTGGGCAAGTCAGTGACTTTTCTTTCGCTGCTTGTTGCCTTTTCTCCCAGTGGTGTAGCAGGCTCAGATGGTCCCCATCAAAGCATTCGGGCGTGCGTGGTAAATGGCGGCAGTAGTCTTTACATTACCTCCGCCCCTTTGTAAGTAGTCGGTAGCGTTAAAAGTTGCGAAGTACTTGAAAGCAGTTTGCTAGTGATCCCTTCTGTTTTTCAGACTACTGCTCAATGCGCTCCAGTGTGTCAGTCGACCTGCGTTGAATCGTGCGTACAACAACAGCAACCTGTAGCTCAGTGCCAGCAGTCCTGCACCAATACCTGTCAATCGGCTTGCTATCAACCGGTGCAGCTTCAGCCGGTACAGCAGCAGGTAAACCAAGTCATTAAACACTCTTCAAGGTATCGGTTTCCCTACACTGTCCGCGTCAAATTCGCCTAGATAGGCTAGCTCGCATAACAAAAAAAGGTCTTCTCTTGCCTTTCATGTTATCCGATTTAATATTGACGTTAGTGCTAAGCCAACCGCCTTATTTTCAATCCTGAACGGTTTTTCATAAAATATTGGGTTTCAGTGTGCCCAGCAGTGCAACGTCGCTTGCCAACCACAGCAGAACCAGCCCGCGTGCCAACAGACCTGCCAGACTAGCTGGTGAGTGCATAAATACTTCTAAGTGGATATCAGCAAACAAAGTGCGGGTCGAGTTGAAGCAACGGAGAAATAGAAAAACAGGTCATTCAGCAAAATGTGCACTGTGTCGTCTCGGAGCTGCCGATGGCATTGTTTGTATTGTGCGACACGCGAGATAGGCTCAGCACAGAGTGCACTGTTTTTCGAGAACATAGGGGAGTGAATAAAAACGTACTCGACTTTTGGGAAATAATCAAGCAAACAAATAACGAGGGATGGAGTAGATATGGCGCAATGACGGACATTCGGTACTACTCCTTGAAGGCAAAGCCCACCATCAGTTATAACTATCTGAGCTCATCGTACGGAGAGGTAGCGTGAGCTGCAACGACCAACGACCAACCCTCTAGGACTTTCACGGCAGAAAGTGGGAAAGGGTCTACGGAGAACTTGACCTGAACTCAATCCCTTTAAACGCGTCGATCTTCTCTTTTTCTCTGCACTCTCTCGTCCGCATGGCACTCTATGGCCGTTGTGACTTCGCTCATTCCAGCTTTTCACCGATTATAAGTGGTCACCTCCCCTCCCTTTGAAAAAGCCCGTTTTCTAGCTCGCCATATGATTCTTCCACCTCTATCCCTCTGCGTCACAGGGTTTCGTAACAGGACCATGCACAGAAGTTCAAGATGTCACGTAACCGTGGCAAAGTAGCGGCGGGGAAGAAGAAAGCTGCTCAAGTGACTCCGCCTACATTGATAGATGACTTGATTATGCTCTCCTTCTCTTGCGTGCTCTCGCTCTTTCTCTGTACAAATTCACATCAATCGTTTGTCTTTCAAGTGGCACAAGTAGGGCCATATCAAGTCTTCTCGACAGATTCCTTCCTTTCTCCTTCACGAAAAAGTCAGTGTTCCGCTTCTCAACGCCGATACCTACGAGCTTTCCGCTGGCTCATCGCGGTCTTCCTTTGCCAAGTGGATTTTCTTCTTAA